AAAAAATAAAACTGGACTGTCAAAAAATAAAACTGGACTGTCAAAAAATAAAACTGGACTGTCAAAAAATAAAACTGGACTGTCAAAAAATAAAACTGGACTGTCAAAAAATAAAACTGGACTGTCAAAAAATAAAACTGGACTGTCAAAAATTAAAACTGGACTGTGACCCTTCTGGGCCATCGTACGTTTCACTGTCCTTTCGTAAGAGTTAATTTTTTGAACGGCATCTCGACGTGTACGCGAATTGAAATTTGACTGAAGGAAAACGGTTGCATAATTCGCGCGCAGGATCTCCGTCATGAAATCTAATCCTTACCATCTCCATCATGAAATCTAATCCTTACCTCAGCTCCTCGTTACAAATATTTCCTGTTTTTCTTAAGATCTCCTCGGTGCGCATGATCGTAAGTAGCGTTATTCACTCACACTTGTGTAGCCCAGATTCCTGATTCGTCTTGTTGAAATTATAACTAACACAGTTAGGTTCCAGATAACACTGGAGTTCGCACACATCTTCATTAGACACATCAATAGTTCGTATTGTGTGATTCTTCAGACGGTAGCCATGAATGGGAGAACAAGTGAATCTTAAAGAGCGACACTGACCTAAGGAAAGAAAACAGCAGGTCTCTTGAAGTAGATAAATGACGAAAGTGGTGTTAGGCCCGATTTTCTATTAGAAAAATGTGAGGTGAAATTGGTGAAAGCTCCTAGAAGGAGAAAGGAGGCCCATTAACAGAGCACACTTATCAACTAAACTTTTGGATACTAAGTTAAACGAAGCCGTCTTTTATAATTTGCTAATTAGGTACATACCTCATGAAAAGGTCCCCTCGAGGATAGAATATGATAATTGTCTCACGGACCCTTGAGAGGGACTTTAATAGCCTAAAGCTGTTATATTTAGAGGAGTGAAATCGCAGACAGAAAGGTCATGCTAATTATGTAAGATTCCCGAAGCTGTCCGCTCATTCAAAGAGAGACGGAAAATTTAGTACAGAGAAGATACTAAGGTGGAAGGCGAAACGACAAAATAAGAACAAGCAAAATTTACGCTTTTCAAGGGCGGTTAATTTAGCCTATAAATTTCACATGACGATGGGAGGCAGATCAGGAGAATTAACCTTTGCAACGATTACCACGAATTTCTAGAACTGTTCGTGAGATACCTGCTTTCCTGACTTTCTCGATCAACAACAACTTTCAATTTAAAACATTTCTGTCAACTATTTTTAAGCAGCACACCTAAACGTGCACATTTTTCTATCCTTTTATGATTTAAAGTCTATCAGAGGCCATGGGCTTCTGAAATTTTTCTGACAGACCCATTTCAAGCGGGAAAAAATCTTACTGGATACGGAGCGAACAGTCAGGACCAAGTTATCGCGCTGGATTATTTTAAGTGCTCCTGGGACAAAAACAGAAAAAAGCTCCTTTTTCTTAGCAGATCAGGATTCTTAATTTTAAGCGAAATTTTCCGAAATTTTCTGCCTTCCACGAGTGTTACTTATTCATGCTGCTCATGACTAGTCTGTATGTGCATCACAAAAAAGCGACTAAAACTAAGCTGGTCACCCAGATCATTTTCACTATCGGAAATTTGTTAAAGACGCTGGTATAGATATGCCAAAGTATCACTACAGAACAAAATACACGTTGTGAATGCAAAAAGTTTGTGAACGAGTTGGGAAATAATCATTGAAGAGCTTCTTTCGCACCGTCGAAACAGGTTGTTTTGATAGTCAACACCTTTTATAGAATTCACTCATTGTCAAGACATAATTTAGAACTTTATGTCAATGCCAAGACCTCATTTTACAGCTTGATTGATCTAACGTAGATGTTTAAAGACTCAAAACGATAAATTTTACAATAGAATAAGCTAAAAAAATACGTTAATTTTTTTGCAAAAAATAAAGAAAAATACTCAATATTTCCGATTAGCTTTTGAAATTTTAAAACTATCTTGTCTTTTGCATAAATATTCAAACATCAGTTCCATTATCTAACTTAGAGATTCTTTTTAACTCCGATAGATACACATCTCAAAAGTTGTCAGTTACTTGACAGCGTTATCCTGCAATAGCTGTTTACTTATTCCCGCGAAAGAGTCATTTAATTTTGAGGTACACATTATCAGGAGCAGCTTGCAGAAGTTGAAAGCACGTACAAGACCTCTAAGCAAAAGCGTGAACTATAGAGTAATGTTTCGCCGAATTAGCCTTTGCTACCGGTGCCAACTGGGTTTCTCTTAAAACCTATTTCTTTGGTTTTTGTCAAAAGTAAGTGCTATAGTATTATCGTTTAATGACTTATACACAGATATTTGAGCAACCTGTAGCCATCGTTCATCACCTTTTACTTTTTAAAGTCTTTCAACTAATAATTATGATTTTTTAATTTAGTCTTGAGCCTCTCTGTAGCTAGCGAATCCCTCTTTTCCTGTCATTTTAAATATTAGTTTTCATCGCCGCAAGTGTCGTTTCCAGAAGAAATTTAACAACGCAAATTAACACTGGATAATAAATAACTTGACTGTTTACTCATCTCGTCGTCAAAGCCAATTTAAAAAGGGAGGCCAATACATGAATATGGGCCGGATTCTTACCTTCACCATCTGACGGCAGAGAAGACATTATTACCAACACGAAGTGAAAAATATAAAAAACAAAGCATGACTGATTTTCATTGGAACGAACTTTTCCGATGCGTTGTTGAATAGTATGAGCTCTTAACCAAAATGCACCATCTGCAATCAGCTTTACATGTTCCATATTCATACTGAGCTCCTCCCCCGCAGTCTGCTAAATAATTCACGACATCCTTTTTTAGTAAATGAGGTGCTTGCGTTTTGATTGATGGCAATGAAATCCTCTTGAAATTTCCTTTACGTATTATAGTTTGTGATAGCAATTGAAATGGACATTGAGACAGTTTGGCATTGCTGCCGAAACAAATTTACTTTAGTTTAAAGGACTTGGAGGCTTTTCCAATGAAAGGAGTTAAAGGAAATTATTACGGCGCCGGTTATTTTCATTTTTATGGTGTAAATGGCAAGACCATTGAGGAGGCAGACAGCTATGTCTACTTAGGAAAGACATTGACATGAGATGGTGACCTACTTCCTGAGATTAGGAGAAGGATTGGACTTGGTTGGGTAGCCTTTGGAAAAGTGGACAACATCATGAGAAGCCGCAAGACAAGTATGAAGATCAACAGGAAGATACACCCCAAAAATGTCTAAGACTTTAAACACGAAGGCGCGCTATATAAGGAAGTCTTCCTGGGAAGACCTAGGCTCATTTGTCACTCACCGTTAACGTGTGCGGGTCAAATTTAAATGCTAAGGGCCCCTAAGGATACCAGCCTCGCAGCTGACTGGGCCACCCTGGCTAAATAAAGTTGTCTTGCCTTGTCTTGCTGGTAGACGAACAAAAGGAGCTAATGAGATATCTATTGTTTACTTCCACCAGCATGGTGGCATGAGGTAACGTGCCAACCAGCTACTTCGATCTCAAATTTACCGCCACAAATAAAGACAGTTTCTATTGGAGAAAGGAAATACAAATCTCAAAAATTCTCGTATTGTGATCAAGACATAAAACAATTTTGAGGAATGCGCCCGCTGTTCACTGTTTTGGAGTAGTTGTAGCTCAAGCTGACTTTCCTCTAAGAGTTCTACATCACACGACGGTTGATTGACAAATGGTCCAGTGGGACCTAAGGCTCCTTTTATAGTGCGCCTTCGTGTTTAAAGACACTGAAAATTTGAAAGGTGCTAAAGTTCGTACCTTCCATTCGTGCCCATCTCCAAGGGTAATAAATAGCGCTTTATACTCATGACGTCATGATATTTTAGACCCCCCGCGTGACTCATACAAACAAACTCCACTTCTTTGAGAGCTACAAGGGAAATGCATCCTCGGAGACCCAGGGGCTGTGGGTCGATTTCAAGTTAAGGCATGAAGAGCCCCTGGGGACATTGTCTTACAAGACTACCTTATTACGGTGCCCAGAAGGCTCAACGCAAACAAAAAGTATACTGCAGCAAATAAAAAATATACTGCAGCGAATAAAAAATATACTGCAGCAACTAAAAAATATAGTGCAACAAATAAAAAAATCAAAACGCAAAGAAAAAAAGTACCGCAGCAAATAAAAAATGCAACGCAAACAAAAAATACTGCAGCAAATAAAATATGCAACGCAAACAAAAACAAAAAGAAAACGCAAACAAAAAAAATTGGAACGCAACGCTAAAGAAGACTGGGTGATAGTTCTTAGTTTCCCGCCAACACTCGTTCCATCCTTTGCTTGTTCGCCTTTCCGAAACCATGTTTTGCAGCGAACTTATGACAGTACCATGCTGCTCCTTTAAAAGTTCGATAATAACTTTATTTTCATACCCTTGATGAAAGTAATCTTCCATAATCCAACGCAGATCGCTTTCGTCCATAACCAAAAACGAGTTCCAGTTCATGCTGTTTTGGCGGGAAACTAAGAACTATTACCCAGTCTTCCTTGGCGTTGCGTTCCAATTTTTTTTGTTTGCGTTTTCTTTTTTTTGTTTGCGTT